GATAGGCTGCTATGATAAACAAGATGATTTTTACAAGAACCAAGCAGGGGTTTTTTCTCTTGGAAAACTTCCAGACAGTGAAATCATAGTCAAGAAATTCCAATTCACCAGAATACAATTTGCTAGTTATTTCTGGACTACTTCAGGTCAATGTGATTGTGATCCTCTAAAGAAAAGGATCACAATCACATTGTGAAAATGTGCTAGTAGGTAAGGGTGAAACAATGGCAGAAAAGCTTTTGCAGTTCCGCTTTACATTTATGGAGAAACAGGCCTACCAAACTCAGCAGAATTTACTTCTCAGTAAACTTATATAGAAATGCATTAGGCCTTTTTCATTAACATAGTACGCCATCTTGAATGCATTGCCTAGACTTGCCTTAAGCCATAATTTGTTTAACCATAGTTCATAACCCAAAATAGTTGGGTTCATGCACATTAAGCTAAAATTAAACACTGTGTTAAGAACTAACATACTGAGTTCCAGATCATTTCCATACTTGTCAACTGTGAAATCTTGAAGGAGAAGCAATCACGATGTTCATTTTAAAATGTTGGCTGGGGAATTCTGGGAGTTGAAGTCCACATACCTTAAAGTTGCTAAGGTTGAGAAACACTATTTCATTCATCTGAAGGCCATTCCAGTTTCAGGAGTTTTGAAAACTCCCTCAGTGGCTTATAAAATGTAACAAGTGCGATCAGATTCCAGTGGGGTCACATCATCCCTCCCAAGTTTTCATGCCAAGAACACTTAAAACTAACTTTTATTTTGCCCTTGCTATTGACTTCATTTGGCAAGATGAAAGGGGCAAAAATAATTAGTTCACCCAGAAATTCTATTAGTGGAAGGGATGTTGACATTTTGATCAATACTCAAAGGGTCATAGTCTCATCTGGAAAAGAAGGATGAATCTTCTAGGATGATGAATGGCATTAATCCCAGAAGAGGATTCTACTGAACCAGCCTTTCACTACTTTGGAACTGAAGCATTCAATTTAGTCTTCTCAGGCGACGGGCTAAAATGATCACCTTTAAACCTCTTTCATCAACATATCATAGATAGTGTGGACATCTTAGAACAAAGAGTACTTCATTCGGTTGGAAGATTGTGTACACGATACCTATTCTCTTGACCCTTCATCCTTTCTTTCTTCTGCTGGACATCAGAACAGGGTACATTTGCTTCTCCAAATGTTGCTGAACTACATCCCCTAACAGGTTCTACAGGATCCTATGATTAATTAGGCTGAGAACCTATAGGGAGGCTGAGGAGCTAGGAATATTTTAAAAGACTTCATAGTTTGGAAAGCAAAAGAAAAGTTGCATATTACTTGAGCTCAGTTCCTTATGACTTCATGGACACACCAATGTAATTTTCTTGGCAACAACACGGAAATTGTGGCCATGACCCAGAACCTCCACATATTGCAATATGAGCAACAGCTGTTCCTTAGCAGGGACCAAACATACCCAAAACAGAGGCGTCTTGCCAGCAATATGAATTGGCCTGACTCAGCAGGCACGAAATAAGGAGTGTGGTACAGGGGGCTTCAAACTTTTCAGGGCATGGAATTTTGGAATCCCTGATCAAGAGACAAAGCTCTAGTGATAGAAAACTGGCTGGGTTTAGTGACTCTCATGGAGCCCCATTAAGTTCTCATAAAGTTCCAAAGAACAGTTCAAAAAACCCTGGTGTGGTGGACTAGAATAAGAATTCAGGTTGAATCCAGTTTACTTACAAAAGTATAGTATTGCTCTACATTTTTTTAAGTTCATAGATGTCCTCCTTTGTACTTCTCATGGAACATTGTTAAGAATGGAATTGTTATTATTGTAGTAATCTGTGTCTGCTAATGACTAATTGGTAACAGAATTCACGTCAGGAGAGAGCTTAACCATGTATGTTGCTGTATCTCTTATCTCTTCAAGCTGTAAACCCAGGGTCAGTTTGTAAGAACAACATTTAAGGCCTTGGCCCAACTTGCATATCAAAGCTGCTGTTTCCTTTCTTGGAATGTGTCGCTATCATCTCATATCATGACGGATGCCCCCTGCTTGTGCTTGTTTCCCTATCAGTTGTAAAGTAATTCTTTCTCCATTTACTGTCTTTAGCTACGTTGCACATATGCTCAAACTGTCTTTGACCAACTTTCTGCATAAAATCTATGTAGTCTTGGCACTTCTGTGTACAAGAGACCAGTGGCTCCCTGTATCCCATTAGTTTTGGGCTAATAAAACAATCATTTGGACCCTTTCCAGTTTGTTGGTTTCTTGGTGGGTGATTTTTGACACAAGAGTGGAAAGTAGCAATCCCTTACAAGAAGGATCTAGTCAAGGGTTTGTTCATTACCTGAGGGCATGTAAAAGCTTTGTAAACTTGCTTTTTTATTCACAACATGAACAGAAAGTAGCAGATATACCCAACTTTGGACTTTAAGTTACCTTTTTCTGACCACAGGCTGGGCTCAATCTGGAAGTGGAAAAATCTACATCCGTCTTTCGAGAGACAACATACTCTTATTTCTGCTTTGTTTTGCACCAAGTTGATTTCAGTGAAGAACAGAAGCAGCTTTGCTTCTGGGCCATGTTTTTCAAGAAGTTACTGTAAACCTTGGTTTCAGCATTTAATAATCACATAGATCTTAATGCATTATCTTTTTATAGGTTTAGGGAATATTTGACACACACTACAGAAAAGGTGATCATAGACCAATGCTTTGCTTGGAAATATGCTTACTTGCTCTTGCAAAACAAAACAACAAAAAACAAAACAGAAAAGCAAGCTGAAACAATAGAGGGTAGAGAATGAAGCAATCTGACCAGTTTGGCATCTGATCAGTGGTGTTTTGCACCACCCCTCGCAGCCTTTTGGGGAGAACACTGAAGACTTAAAAACTGTTTACCCTTGGGTTGAAATAAGGACAAAAAATGGAGTTTACCTCTTAATCTTGTATGAGGCAAGGATGAGCAAACATTTGCAGACTCAAAGCCTCTCAGAAATGGGCAGAGTTAAAATTTTCACCCATGGGGGGCTATTGGTGAGAGGACTAAAAGGCCAAAAGAGGGGTTTTAAGTCTTATAGGGCCTTAAGGAACACATTTCACTCCAAAATACTGGAATACTGGGCCATATAGAAGGTTGAGGAGCAACCACTTCTTCCACTTCTACCATGGCCTAGTCTCTTCATTTTCTCTCTTAAACACAAGCCCACAAAGGACCTTTCAGCTGAAATGACATCGACACCCATGTTTTCTGTAGCCCCTTATTTGCCAGAGCTGGGCAAAAGATGAAGAAGCCTGCTAGTCCTTAATGTAAGGAAATAATTTATATGTTATAACGGCACCTCTGATCTACCAGGGTACTTCAGAATGTCTGTTATGGGGGATAAGACAATAATACTATTCCATCTACCACTGGTGTATCATATTCAGGATTACATTATTACTCATTATGATTTAGAAATATCCTTGTGTAATACAACATTCTCTGAATTTAAATAGGGGTCCTTTGGCATTACACTGCCATGAACTGACACTTCACATTTTGCAACTAGGACAAGGGACTCAAAAAGCAGCTCTGCAACTTCTATCTGCCAGCTCAAGAGCGTTGCATCCACTTTAAAGAGTGGATCCTTTAAGGCAGCCACAACTTCAAAAACTTTTTAGATAAACTTTATCTACTCATTACAGCGGATGAGTTGATCTGCATTAACGAGTGGATTCTGCTAAACGAATAGCAGAAAAATGATAGGATTATGTGAGGTGTGAAACACTTTTCCCAAATTTTCTTTGAAGCACAGACAGTCCTATTATCTATTAGGGCAAGATATACCCATCCATCATCTGGAGGCCAGGGCGATTTGCACAGAGGAAGCAGTGATATCAAGCATCTACAATAACTATTTTACAGATTACATGAATGACAAAAATACAGGATGCACTTTTACCTCCAGAGGATGAGGATCTTTCACAACTTAAGAGGGACATTATATTTCTCCAATTATCACATAAACATTACATCACTCAGCTTGCACTACCTTAAATTGCTCTTTAGCTTTAATTATAGCAAATCAAATCATGCTTCTTTATTTCTGCTCTCTACTAATTCAGGAGTCCATGAGTTTTGCCATGGACAGACAGAATAGAGCCTAATGGCAGAGTTGATTTCAACTTTAGTGCCAGAAAAAAATCAGTCGCCAACAGTTACCTATCAGCTGATTCCTGTATTCAGTCTCTCATCTCCATCCTGACACTGATTCTGAATGGATCTCATTGTTGAGACATCTGGCCTTGCTTTTTGATTCTGCAGCTTTTCTTCCCCATTCCCTGATTTTGCAATAAGTAACCTGATGAACACTCCTAGGGAACTCAAAAACTTACACACTTTTGTGCCATTTTGGCTGGATCCCTAGAGATGCAATACCCTGCTGGAGATGTTGGGTTTTGGTTCAAGGGGCAACATGTCATAATAAGGACTGTCTAACTTCGGCATATGAGACGTAGTCTAAAACTACTCTGTAACATTTGCGAGGTTCGGATTAGACATTTAAAAAAAAAAAATCTACATGCAGTAGTCGCTGTTTTCTCCACCCCACACTCTGCTGTTGAACTTACATTTTAATTTGTCAACAGATTCAACTTTCAATGAATTGAGTTTTTCAAGCAACGGTATTAAGATCACACTGTGCGCTAAGCATTTCATATTCAACAGAAACAAGTAAAACCGCTTGGGACTGAACACAAAATCATAAATTAGTCACATTCAGAACTAAAATGTAAAATATATTTATGATTCTTTCAATATAACACTAGATAAACATTACAAAAGACAATTTACATTGGACATCTATTTTCAAATACAATCACTTGCCTTTCCAAGGCACAGTCATGAAAGTCCAAAGCCAAGTTGGAGTATTTTTAGATCTTGTTCATTCGTCACTCAAGAATAAAGTGTCTCAATTCCTGCTTGACAGGTGTTAGAAAGGCATTGGCAGATATGAGCAAAACTCTCTGTGCTGGTAGCAGAACGTTCCAGACATCTCTGGAGGCTCCGTTCCTCCTCCGGACTAGGCCAACCTAGCAACAATGGCAGTGATCCACCAGTTTTCCAGAATGTAATCCTCCAAACCATAACTGGTTTCGTGTCTTAGAAGCATTTCTTTGGAAACTACCAACTCATTTGGAGGTAGGTTCTGCACATGGCTACTTGTTACTCTTTTTCAGCAGATCCCTTCAGGCTTGACTTTTGCCTCTTCTTCTCCCTTTGTCCAATAATACGAAAAAGTTTCTTCCTTGCTTCCTTTTGCCTCTTCAGCTTTGCTTCTTCCTCTTTCTGTTTCTCTTTCAGATGCTCTTTAACCTGCTGGCGATGTTTCACTTTGTCCTTCTGCAACTTATAGTTGTGTACCGTGCCCAAAGCGGAGAGAAGTGCTGCAACCTTAACACAAGAAGGAAGTGTGTGACTGGAAGCTGACCAACCCAATCCCAAGTTTTAATCACAACCCAAAAGGAACGCAGGACACAATACTATTACACACTGGGGCTTAAATTGCAGCAGTTATCAGCTCCATACGCACTGCTTATTGGTCTTAGCATCTGGCCAGCATTAGCAAGAGGCTTCCTATGGCACCACTTTAAAGGTCTCAGAAAGGTTGGCTCAATTTCTTTTATTGTACCCACCTCCACCAAGGTAATTGCTATGATTAACTCAGGTGTTAAATACTCTTTTTCTTGATCCTTGGAGCAGGAAACTATTAAAAGGTAACACGATCAATGCCTGTTGGCAGCTGGTAAGTCTATAACTACCTATCATTCTGTTCAATAAAAATCATTTAATCTAACACTGGAAATCTACTCAAAGCAATAAATCTGTCACTTTATTTGCTACCTGTAGACGTTGATAAGAGTTAATCAGAGCTGGCAGGGCAACCATGTTGTATTGCATGGATTTTTAAAAAAAGCATTACAACTAGAGCAGAGTTTACAAGTCGAGCAGAATACAACTTAAGCGTTTATGCTTTTCCATAACAGTTGCAATTTCAAATCTAGGAAAAGTGAGGAAGCTTCTAAGAAATCATCCAATAAAGACTAAGAGGTTATGTAAGTACATAACACAGGCATTCTTCCAATCATATTTAGTGGAATTGGAACAAGGATACTGAATCAAAATGAACCTGTTTAGGATCAAATCCACATCCAAATGAAGTTCATGGCAAATCTTCAATTGATTTCACTGGGAAGGCATCTTGCACGTTCAAGAGAAACCCATATTATAAACTGTGATGCTTACAGCTACTCTGGATGACAATTATGGGAGGTGGAGAGCTGCTATGAAGCCCACAAAGATCTTACCTTTCTTTCATGCGGTTCCCTGATAACAGCTGGTCTCCACTTATCCTTTGTAACTTTCTTTTTTCTTTCTTGGAACTTGGGCTTGTTCTTAAATGGCAAGGCCTTCTGAAGAGCTTTTGGAATATGCAGCTTATTGAAATGTTTTTTCTCCCGCACTATGAGCTAAGGAGGGGGAAAAGGAAAGGAATGGTCATCATCTTCTTCAGGAGCATGCCAAAGCTTTCACTCTGAATCATTTCGAGCACATTTGGTGGAATGTCCTACTCTGACCAAAAAGTCACCCACCTTGTTTGTTTCAAGTTTCAAATGCTTCCAGGAATGATGTAAATGGAATATTTCACATTTGAAATGCAAAATTTCACACAAAAAACAGTTTAGAACATAGCAGTTTGCATTCCCCTGTTTCTTTGTTATGTCCTACTTTCAGTGGACCTTCAATTTGCATTATAACAGATCACTGCAAAACCATACAAATACCAATTTCTTTATTTAATCCACCAGTGGGCAATCTGCAGCCTACATACAATCTCCAAAATAATTTCTATGGCCTCTACCCAACTCAAATCATACCGCCAAAAATCAGTAGCAAACTCCCAGAAAGCCAGAAAACAAAATAACTGTTATTTAAGTCTTGGAATAGGCTTAAAACTTTAAAGCAAACTGCTAACAGCCCCTGTAACAACAGCAACAGCAAAAGACCTGGGAAAATTCTGCCCCTTCCTCTTTATTATTATGCCATCCAGCACCCTTCCCAGTATGTGTGTGAGTTGTGTGTGTGTATTTCCTTATTTCCTTCAATAAAAGGGGGGGGAAATCCCAAATCCCTCAGCGAATGGTTGCCCACAACTAAATTAGACCTCCCAACTCCTAGTCTTCCTACGCACATGGGAGGAACCTCCCCGAGTCTCGGAAGCAGGCAGAATCTAAACCACTGCATTAGAAAATAAGTAAGTAACATCTCCCCTGCAAACACAAACACATCACACAGACAATCCTACCTTATAAAGGGAATCCTTGTTTTGCTTCAGTCTGATACCCTTCTCATGTCTTAACTGCCCCGTTGTCTTCATTCCTACCCAGGACGTTTTTTCACCCAGAGGCTTCAGTAAAGAGGTTACTGGATTATAGAAGGCAGGGGCAGATACGGGATACCATGTTCGCATGAATACAATATCTGAAGAGGGAGAAATTGGTTGGGAAATGGTTCTAAATGGTTGCCCACAGTTTGGAGATCACTGGATTTTATAGCTGTGATCGATGGATACCACCTTTCTACCTGGGCCTTGTTTCTTCTTGGAAATTAGCTGCACTGGATTTTAAATTTGATTTAAAACTGTACTGAGCTAAATAATGCCTCCACATTGCTGATTTAGGTATGAATGTTTCAATGAGCATTGATTCTTAGCTTCCTGTGGATCAGCCCCCTGACAGGCTTCCACTCCCAAAAGAAAGCATCAAAACATTTTAAACAGAATAATCTAAGAAGGGAAGCTGTGCATGACTGGAAAACGACCCATCTCTTAAACTATATATCTATATATCTTAAAGTACACAGACTGTAAGACAAAGGGCTGGAGAACATCAGCACTCCTAACTTTTTCTTCCAGTAAGGTGAATGAAATGTTAAGGCCCTGAAACAGTGTGCCTAAAAGGGCAAGGCCTGCCATTTTGAATGCTCCTTTTTCTAATTCTCAGTCACCTTCTCTTTTTTTAAACATCACACCAGGAAGAAGGATCATTATTGTTGTTAATAATGTTCTACTTGAATAGTTTTTTTTAAACATGGCTTGCATTCCAGAGGCACATTTCATTCCACCCATTATTCTGCACGTACAGAACAAGACTCAGTTACCGTGCAAAATAGCAACAGCAGGTTCAACACAGTTATGTACAAAGGTGAACCTCTCCACTTTATCCTTGAAAGAAAAAGCAGGCTTTATTCTTCAATGTAGTTACCATAAGTTTCCACAAGAGGGCAGTTGCAGCCAGAGAAGAGGTAAGTTTCTTTCTAATTGAGTTCAACCTTTTTTTTATTAGATTTTCTTTTTATCCCGCCTTTATGATTTTTTATAAATAACTCGAGGTGGTGAAACTTCTGGTGACTTTATGTGGTTTTCTTAGCAACAGTATGGAAGTGGCTTACCACTGCTTTCTTCAGGAGGTGGTCTCAGTTTCCTGAATTTGATTACAGTTATGTGATCTCATGGTGGTCTCTTAACCGCTAAGGTGATCCCTATTCTTTTTGAGATCAGTCAAGGTCAGCTGCGTGCTACAAAACCAACTCTACTTTAACAAAAAAAGAGATGCGTGGCACTTTTAAAAGTAATGCATTTGATTATATTATCTACTTTTGTGAATCAAGCCCATTTTGTCAGGTGAAAGAAGAAAATTACTGGTCAAATCCTCTGTCTCTGGACTCCTTTCATTCCTCCCCAGCCTCTCCACAATCTCTTACAATTATTTTGAGATGTATTTTTAAATACATTCAGTTAGAAAGATGGGAGAAAGAATGGGGAGAAATAAAAGGTGGAACAGTGAAAACAGACAAAACAAAAGGTTCGAAAAAGCTTATAAAAACTAACGATAATAATAAAATGGTTTATTCTTAAGATGCCATGAATCCGACGGTCAATCTCTTTCCCTCTCTCCCTCTCTGCTACAGATGACGAATTCAGCTCCCTCTCTGGGGATCTGCATGAAATTGGGTGAGCTTCACAGCCGTGCAGTCTCACAGTGATTATGGATGCATAATCAGAGCCATTGACCCTGTCTCTTCCCAATCTATAAGCAATTCCCCAAAGGAACATTTGCCAGAAGCATCATCGGAGGCGTTCCAACCCCAGAACTGATCTTCCTGGCCTTGAAGTGGGCTTCCCCAAATAACCCTTGACAAAAGGCCACCCTCCCAAGTCAGTTTAAGACGTGCCACTTGAAAACGCAGCTTACCACTCATCAGCAGCTTGTCTTCAAAGGTTGCCCGGAAGGCCCCCTCTGGGGTTCGAAGGGCCTTCTTGATCTGTCCCCGGATGCCGCTCACCGTACGAATGGCTGCGCCTTCAAACTTGGCCACTTCCAGCACCGAGTTAAACATGCCCTGCACGGCACGGAACAAAGACGCTGCCCTGAAGAGAACTTTTCCATTGATGGTGCACCACGATTAACAACAAAGGAATCAACATTTCTTGTAGTTCACCTCCCTTATAAGCAGCACGCTTTTTTTAACAGAGGAGCCTTTGAGAGAGCCAGCTCTGCCATAAATGAAGGCAGGCATGCCCTTAATAAATCACAGCTTTCCTAAAGTATGCCCGAATCTATTTTATTTATTTATTTATTTATTTATTTTAACTTCGTTGCATTAAGTACCACACCAAGAGAAATTGAACTTGAACTCATCCCCAGAGCCTTCTGGAGCCTTCTGGAGTGGGCAGCCATAATAAATTTAAATAACTAAATAAATCTGAACAAGTTTCTGGTGCCCACCCAAGTGGGAGCACCACCCAGAGCTCATCCAGGTAACCAGGGTCACTGCTGGCCAACATCCAACAGACCATGGCAATGACAAATGGGCCTCCATGAATTCAACATTATCCGTGACAGATTTATGGCAAAGCAGCCTATTTCTGTGTCCACAGTGCTGCTAAGTGCAGAAACATTCCATCCTGGGGTACATGAGTTAGAGGTTAATTTATTTCTCCTTAACTGGATGGGTGCAGAGAAGGAAGTTCCAAGAAAAGGCAATTAGAGCTGAAGGTTGAAGGCAGAAAGGGAGACAGGAACAGGGACTGCTTTCTGTCAACCAAGAACAGGGACTATGATTAAGTAGTTACACTGCACGGTAATTTGGGTTGTTCTCTGGGTCCAAATTTGTTTCTAGGAACGTTCTCCAATTGTTAATTTGGCCAAATGTCAACATTTCATGGGCAATTAAAACAGTATTTCTGTTAGGGCGGTGCAGTGATTTGGAGCACATGGGGTAGCACTGTCTGCAACTCCTTTAAAGCCTCTTTTCCTTGGATCATGCAGCCGCTAGGTAAGCACCTCTGAATCACTGCACGTCCTAACAGCCCACTGTGCTCTGAAGCCACTTGAAACTGAAGCCCTTGAAACTTAAAAATGTAATCCAGCCCTATTTTAAATTAACTGCCTTTACAGGTAGTCCTTGTTTAACGACAGCAATTGGGACCAGCAACTCTGTCTAGAGTCAGGTTCACTAAGCAACACATCGCTAAGCGACAAGGTCGTAAAGCGCAATGTCACATGACTGCGCCAACTTATGACAGCGGTTGCAGCAGTTCTGGTTGCGGTTGTTAAGCGCAGTGTCACATGATCGCCATTTGTGACCTCCTGCCGGCTTCCCCGTTGACTTTGCTTGTTAGAAGCCATCAGTGAAGGTCGCAAATGGTGACCATGTGACTATGGGACACTGCAACTATTGTAATTGCGAGCCAGTTGCCAGCACCCAAATTGTGATCACGTGACCGTGGGGACACTGCAACAGCCACAACTATGAGGACTGGTCATTAGTCTCCTTTTAATTTCAAATGGTCACCGAATGAATGGTCGTTAAGCAAGGACTACCTGTATTGTTGAAGAGTTAAAATACAAAAACACATTTCAAATAGTGTCTTTTATTGGATTATGGCTGGAATACGCAATCCATGTTTACAGAGAGAAAATTCTCTGCAGCTAAAAATCAGACTGACATTGTAAAAAAGACTCCTACATCAAAGAAGCTTATTTCTCAATATTCTACATTTAGATTTTTGAACCTGACTCTAGGATTGGCCTCTTAAGAAATGAGCGTGCAGCTTATAAATCATAGGGGGTTCCTGTTTTACTGCAGAACATTTCATATGGCACATACTTAAATAAAAGTGTGGGTGAAAATGATACTAGGATGAACAATTACAAAACTGGTTCTACAAGAAATAAAAAGTTATAATTACAGGAGTCTGCAGTTGTGGAATACTATGACAAAAATGCTACCTTGGGTCATTACATTTACACCTAACAGGAAGGCATATGGAATCACTCAGTTTAAATGTTTCAATGTAACAGAAAAAAAGCACTTCTGATTTCATTTAATAATGGGAAATATTTCATAACACAATGCTCTGTTGTGCAAGGACATACAGCCAACCTGGCCAAAAGACAGAGAGAATAATTGTTGGGAAAGTTTCAAAACCGTCTTTTTCACTCTGTATCAGGCGCTTCTTGGTTTTGTACAGAACTGACCAAGGCCTGCAAACATTCTAAGTTTGGCTCTTAAGTGCAGAACTGCCACTGAAATTTGTTCAGCCACTTCCTTATATTTTCTGCTGTCATCCTTCAAATGTTTTCCTCCCCTTTCCCAGATTCATAAATTAGTTCACTTAAAAAAAAACAAATAAATGGTCCACTGCATTGTTGAAGGCTTTCACGGCCGGCATACGATGTCTGGTATGGGTCTTCCGGGCTGTGTGGCCGTGTTCTTGAAGTTCTGTTTCCTAACGTTTCGCCAGCACTGTGACCGGCATCTTCAGAGTGCAGAGTGCTTCACCCTGGGCACAGAGAGAACTGCTCCTGTCTGTGCTCCTGCACTCTGAAGATGCCGGTCACAGTGCTGGCGAAACG